GTAATGTAATCTGAATTTTCATATATTTCATATTGAGAATTATCTAGACTATTTTCACATGGTTTGATGAGGTCATCACAATTGTTCAAAAAAAAATGTAATATCTGGAAAAGCCAAAACAACTTGCAATTTGGACTAGAGGGAATTAGCTGTCTAAAAATTAGCCAACGTTCCATATAAAAATCATCTTCTCACGTTAAAAAATAATTTTGGTAAAACTGTCATCTTATCGCTTCTATATAAAAGATGATTTCACTTAAGAAGCTAGAAAAGTCAAAAGAAGTCATATTTAGGTGGCTTCACCTTTTTAGTATAAAAAACAGTATTTTCTCTCTTGCAACTTCCCTTGATGAGCCGTTATACGAGCCAACATTTAGTGGAGATTCACTCAAGAAATCCGAGAAGGAAAAAAGAATAAAGCCTCTCTGAAAGTCGTGCCAAGGAGGAACTTAAGTTTTTGCTATGTGTTGACCTGCTATAATAAGGCTTAGTAAAGCTGCCCATGTCGATTGTCCCATGATCAGCGGGGTGAGGTTTTAAATTTTGCTCAGAACCTTTCATCGGGGACCATCAAGTCTTATCTCATTTTCGTCGGTCGATCTCGGTGCTTGGTCCTCCACTCCTCCTTGGTGTGCTTGGCACGTAGCAGACCGGCAGACAGGTGTAGCACTCACACTCACTGTGCCCGGTCCTCGCTAAGTTGCTGTATACTTGCTCCATGAGCTGGCAGACACGTAGTAGCGGAACCAGACGCAGACCTTTATTTCCGTATACAATTCCAGGTCTTCTAGTTAACATTAGATTATCTTACATTTGACTAATTTTATACAAAAATAATAATATCAGCATATATGACTCAAAATAAATATATTATAAATTCAGTCTAACTTAATTATTTAGCATTACTTGAGTTGACAATACTCTACAATTCCATCCATGTTGAGACATAGGGGGGAGGGAGAATATAAATATATATCTTCAAATAAATTTGTTAAAAAACTAGACAAAAGATCTTTTCGATGATACTAATTACTTAGCATAAATATTTATATATTTTAATATACGGTGTTGGTGCTGGAGGAGGGGGAGGAAAATCATCTTCGTTGTAAGACGGTGTTGGTGCTTTGAAAAATCATCTTCGATGATCGATGCCAGAAACCACAAATGGTTATAGTGTGAGCTTCGATGATTTGTTGTACATACATGGGACTCAAATATTTAGAATCATCAGCGTGCCTGCTTAGCGTGCGGAAGAGGAAGAGTGTGCTGGTTCAAACCAACGGCCGTTGCCAAAAAAAAAATCTTTTTTTATTTTTTCAACATTGAGGAATCAAGATGACCTGAGTGGAACTTTTTATTGATTTCAGCATCGGCTCCCACAATGTTCCTACCTGTTGCCTCAACCTTCTCTCTTGTTTGAGCATCGGTAAAAATCAATGTATTGGGTAGTCTAACTTGTAGATAGGCTCTTAAATTAAATTAAAGACTTTCAGACATCACCAATAAATGATGACAGTGGACGAAGCTGCTGTTGTAATCTAGCTTTCACTCAACAAAAGCGCATTATAGGATATTCTTTGCAAAATAGGCTGTCAATCATCTTAAGTGGAAAATTAATATACTCCTACATACTACTAGAGTATAAATAATAGAGTAGAAAGCGAAGGTTTGCGCGGTCGCGAGTTTTTGTCAATTGGAGGCACGCACGGCGTCGATCATCCAAATCCAGGAGGTTTTGCATTTGCATTGCCGCTTCTCTGCTCTCCTTGTTCATTCTCTGTGGGCTCCCATCCCATCGACACACGGATCCCAGCTAGCCACCCCGCCCGAGAGAAGAAACCACGGGCGACGATTCTGAAAAGGCTAACATCTTGTGCTTGTATGTGATGCACTCTACTACATCATCGACAAATGGCATTCGCCAAACCCTGCTCCTATCTTTATTTAGTGACAAATGCAGTACATATACACAGTTTTTTTTATTAGCGTGTATCTAGACACGGTTTGCTCGTGTTTAGTTACCTATGTAGGCTCTTATACAAGTTTGTACAATGCACAAGCACACAAAAATGAAATGCTCTCCTCCCCTGGAAACATGAGACCACATCTTCTAAAATATAGAGGTGCAACAAAATGCAAATAACCGGACATGTTTTTGTCAAATACGGCTTGCTCATATAGAACAACCTAAGTATTATGTATATTTATGTGGGCTTAGGTTGTATGCTGCATAGGGTTTGATGCTAACTAAGGCCAACAAAGCAACCAATCAGACCCTATAGTAAGAAGCCGAAGCCACAGTAAATTGTCCCAAATGGGTCCTCTAAAGTTTATGGCTATGGCTCCTAGTTCAAAAAGAGATTTAATTCCTCAGTGGATTCAGCGGAAAAATAATTTTCCACACGTTCGATAGGGAGTTTCAATGAACCGAACCAGAGCTAGGTTAGAAATGCGATTAACAAAGCCTAAAATTGTTTGCAAAATGTAGTCATGCTATTTGTATAGTTTTTGAGCTTCGGCAAACAATGAACGATCAAAAGAAGAAGAAGACCAATTTGGTTTTTGACATACTCTTGTTTATTACAGGTTAGAAATCTTTCGGCGTTCGTTTCGCTGAAATTTAGTTTATGCTGATTTGTTATGAGAGAAAACACTGTTCATTCGCTGAATATTATTGCTGAAATAGTGTTGCAGATCGGACGACGATTGTTTTTCTCTATATATATTTGATTTGAGGCACCCTTCTGTGTGTAAAAGTAAAAAATCGAGAAGAATCCTAAACCATCGTCACCGAATCCCAAGGTAGCGAGAACCAAAACCGGATATTCCGCTTGAGGACAAAGGAGCTCTTTCCGCTCGCTAAAATTAGAGAAGAGGAGCCAAGAGCATGGCAATCGGGGTCGTCCATTTGGCGATCCGACGACCGTACAGAGAGAGAGGCAAGGCAAAGCAAAAAGGAAACTGTTCCGCCTGGCCGACGACGGCCGGGGCCGGCGATGGATCCTGCGCGAGGAACGGAATTAAATAGCGCGTGATCCTGCTTCCTTCCTTCCTTCCACCTCAACCCATCCCAGCCCCGCGACGTACGGTACGGGACCCCACACCACACCACCACAACCCCCTCCTCCGTCCTCGATCCCCAAGCAGCTCCCCTCCCCTCCTCCCGTTGGGCGTTGGGTGTTCGCGAGCCGCCGCCGTCGCTCCCTTCCTCCCCGGATTGGTGCTCGCGGCTGCGCTCGGGGAGTTTCTTGATTCGGCGGGGAGCACCGCCGTCGCCATGGGAGGGCGCCGCTGGCTGCGGTGACCTGACGTCGCCGCTGCAGCTCTGTAGGTAGGCGGGCTCTTGCGTCCCTCTCTCTCTCTCTCTTCGTCCGGATTTCTCCGCCGCTCTTTGTTCACGTGCCCTGGCGGGGAGAAAATTCGTTATTTTTTCAGGGAATTTGGTGGATTCGGGCGGAATTTGTTGTTTTCTTCTTCTTGAAGGTGGGTGTGCGCGTGAGCCGAAAGCTTCGATTTTGATGGAATCCCGGTGTCCCCGCGAGCCCTTCCCCTTCTCCTCTGCTAGGATCATCCATCCATCGGGGGGTTTCTTCCGCTGCGTCTCCCTCTCCAACTGCTCTCCGCTCGAGTTCGCGCAGAACCGGCTGCTCTCCTTTCCGCGCTGCGCGTGCGCGTGCGCCTGGCCGCCTGCTCGCTTGTCTCTTCCCTTGTCGGATTCCCGGTACCGGATAAGCTCGGCGAAGACCATACCTACTACCTATCCTCGTTCTACCGCGTGTCCTCTTCCCCCTCGTCGTTTCTGGCCGCTCGAGCTGCCAACTGTCCAGCTAATTCGAACAATTCCTTCGATTCTGTTTGTGCTTGGTCACCTACCGATTCCTTCAGGTGCCAAATCGAAATTCTTGTTTGTTTGATCGTTTCGTTTTATATCTTAACTTTTTTCCTCTCTCTTTCTTTTTAATTGCCGCCGTCGAGTTTAGGTGTAACGAAAAGAGTAGAGGATTAGTTGGTTTTCTGATTTGGGGATGAGTTCTTGTGCGCATTGTGGGTTGGTCACCTCGCCTGTTTGGGTGTAACGAAAAGAAGATTAGTTGGTTTTCTGGTTTGGGGATGAGTTCTCCTGTGCATTTTGGGTTGGTCATCGCCCCTATTCGGGTGTAACGAAAACAAGATTAGTTGGCTTTCTCAAATGGAGTCTGGTGTGAGTAGCATGGCTTGAAATGGCGATGGTTTGACATCCATTTTTGGTGTAGTTTTGGGCAAGAAATGGCAGCTTCTTTCTGCCACAAGCAAAAAGAAGTTGCCACTGCCCCCAATGGCCAATGCCCCTGCTTCGCCTAGCTGTACATTTTGGCTGAAATAAATAAATAAATGTAAAAAGCAAGCGGAGAACAAGGGGAGAGACGCCGCCTTGCCATGTGTAAGCAACGGCGATGCTTTGTTTGCTTGCAAAGCGTCGTGTGAAAGGGAGGCAACCGTGGGAGGAATCCGGGAGAACGAGGGTACGGCCGTTGCTTGTGGCGTTCAATCAGGATAAAGGTTGCCAACTTTGCGTGTTTCCCTCCTGCGTTCCTGCTTAATTTAGGCAGCTCGTTTCCTCCCTTTGTGCCACTTCCTCTTCTTTAGTAAGCAAGCCTCCTCTATTTTGCAGAGCGCTAACACAGCGCCCCTGCGTGTTACATGTGTGGTTTTCTTGTCGTGGTTAGGCTATCTTGGAATCGATCGGGTGTTTTGGTTTGGCAATTCGGGTAGACAAGTCCGAAACCGTTTCTTGTTTGATTGATTCATTCTGTGGCTGCACCTGTCCCCTCGTTTAGACTTTTAATTAACTGAGTGACCTAATTTGTGCCTAACTTTCGTCTGCAGGTAGCTAGTATTCCAGAGTTGATTTCTCCTGATTGACAGAGGGCAAATCTGGTTCGTGATCCCTAGTACCAGAGAGGGCCACGGTTTTGCCTATCGATGTGTTAGAGCCAAGCACTCGAGATTTTGCAGTTCCGATGGAGTCTAAGTGTGTGAATGATCAGGATGCCTTGATCGACCTGGAGAGTGGCAATGCCACTGCAGTAAGCAACCACAACAATGGTGTGGATGCCAGTTTTACAGTGGGGCAAGCAAGAACAGCGCCTAACGGATGTCCGAGGGATGACAGGAATCAGCACATGGATTGCTCCCCTCCCGCTTCGGATGCTGTTGCTAGAAGTGGAGACGACAGGAAGTCTGAGGGGGAGGAGAAGCTGGGCCTTCTGGACAGTTCAGGAGGGGAGAAAACGAAGAAGAAGCGGTCCAAAAAGCCGCCGCGGCCGCCAAGGCCGCTGACACCTACACCGCTGGATGTTTCTGACCAGAAGCTCCTCAACGAGCTGAGTGAGCTTGCCATGTTGAAACGGGCAAGGATTGAGCGAATGAAGGCATTGAGGAAGATGAAGAATGCCAAACAAGGGATCTCGGGTTGCAATTTGTGCCCCCTGATCATTACCATTATCTTCTGCATCGTCATACTCTGGCAAGGTATATAGATCCGTTCACTATTATTGATAGTGATCTGTGCTGTGTTTGTATGGAACAACAAAAGCTTGAGCCTCATGAATAAAACATTGACTCACCCCAAGACTCAAATGTCAAATTGAACCTTTCTGGTTGCTATACTGATAGCTATCAATGCATTTTCTTTTCTTTTTTCTTTTTTTGCGTTCACTTCACAGTTAATATCTTGTCTGACCTTAGTAAACTTAGTTACATAGTTGCGAGCGAGTACACTGTTAACCGTTCTATGTTCTAGTATGTGAGTCTACAAAGATAAAAGTTGTGTGACTTTATGCCTGGCCCTTTTACCATAACTGGGCGCTGTGAACATTTGTTTTCAGCAGATGACACTAACTATTGTTTAACGAGGCTAGTTTTGATAATATGTACTCAACATGGAGATAGTTCAAGATATCTTTTTGAATGCAAAAGCTAATTTAAGATATGATCAACAATAAAATTCAGCAAAGGAAGTTGGGATCTTTATATTGTCCTTTTATTTGAATTGCCCATGCTATGACGTGCGACACTGTCAACTTTTGTCCCGAAAGCTTCAGAACATGGCCTGCTGATCCAGTATAACTTTAACCAGCTGTTTTGATTAGTCAAACAATGTGATACTTAGTCTACTCATCAGAAAACATTTACTCAAAAGTTCTGCATCTGGAACCTGCAGGTTTCTTCTCGGGACATGGGTCGGCAGTAAGTTTCCATGGATCACCCGAATCATCGATCAGGGGGCACAGCAGTCTGATCTCCATCAGGTTCTACAAGAAGAACCATTCGAATGTGAGACCACCCAGCGAGACCACTGCAGCTCCTGAGTAAGTGAACTTTCTTTGCCAAACAACATTTGCATAGTCAGAATATATAATACCTGGAAACTGACCTTTTGCATAGTTCGAAAACGTTACACCATGCTTCACCTGAAGCTGATCCCAGTGGTTTCTCACAACCTTTTGCAGTAAATAGAGACTGTTTCCGTTTTGAGGCTCGGGAATCGTAACCAAGTGAGAAGGCTAGCTCGGTGATCGGACATGGTGGTGGCCACCACCATACACCAAAAGGTCGCCACATTTTGAAGCCTCACCTTGACGACCCAGGCTATGTAAATCTTCCAGAGACCGTCAGCGGCGCGTCCTCCTCGAGGCGCCCCCTCCTCCTTGGCTGCTGTAAAAATGAATGGACTCCTAGTGTGTTGTGCGCCTGGGTCGTACGCTAACTAGTGAATCTGTTGGCCGTCGTGCCACACAGGCCATGGCTCTAGTGAAGAGAGCAACGAAACACAAGCAAGCTGTCTGTATGTGTCTGATTATTACAATAATAAAAGGTTTGCGCGCAATAATGAGAGAGGTAATCTGATCCATCCACCGAGTTGTGTGCAGTGCTGCACTTGTTAATTGTTACTGATTACTGAAATCGTGGGGCGCGCTCGGTATTTTCTTGGTTGTGGACTTGTGGCCGGCTGGGCTGTTCATACGTGATGCTAGAGAATGACTGAAAGTTTCTCGTTTCAGAGTTTCAGACTTTGAGCTAGATTCACAGGCGCATCTGCAGCTGAAAAATTCTTGGCTCTGCTAAAAAATTCTGCGCATCTGCAGCTGGAATCCAGGCTGTTCAGTGAGATGAGGTCCAGGAGAGATGCGTACACAGGCTGTGTAGATCTGCACAGAGTTTGTAGCATGGATGTTGCAGGTTTTTGTTCCACTGAATCAGTGATGAGATGGCTGGACAATTTGGCTGGCCAGATACGTATTAGCTATAATCTACAGTACATAACAAAACAGCTTCAGCCGGCTGAAATACCAGCCAAACAGGCCCCAGATCGAAGCTGAAATACCAGCCAAACAGGTCCCAGATCGAAGCTGAAATACCAGCCAAACAGGCCTCAGATCAGTTACACAGGTTCTTGTGATTTTGTCTCCTCTGTATTTTCAGTGTCGTCACAGTAATAAGTTCCACATGGCGTTGCTTGCTGACCGGCCTAGTGCGATGCGCACGGCCGCATGAACCGGCCGGCATGACGCGTCTGCGACATGCTGGTGAGCTGCGAGTTGACCTGCACAGGTTGAGTAGACGTGCACGGGCACCAGATCTCCGCTGTTTGACTTGTACTAAACATACGAGTAACATGCAAGTCTGCCTTGCTTCCTAGGCGGACAGCGCGACTCGTGCGTGAGCACTGAGCAGGACGGTGAAACGCGTCTTGGCCTCACTGTCACTGAGCGAGTTGACTTGAACGGGCTGGACTGAATTGAGGCCCTAGCTAGACCTCCTCTATCTAGTAATTTACAAAGTACTAGTGTGTGTCTAGGTCAATAAATTGATGATTATTACTCCAATTTATTTATTTGTTTATTTCAAATGGGATTAGATTAGATGGCTTCCAGGTTAGTTGTACTCGTAGGCACGTGAGTGACATTGGAGTGTGGTGTGGCCGCGTAGTGGTGGGTGGACGCACAGGCTCACTCTTGTGCACACGCCGCTTCAAAAAGCATGTTGCTTGCTATTTTACAAAGTCTGATAATGAACACTCTGGTTGGCTATACATGGCTACTGAAAATCAAGGGATAGCCACCTTCCTATTTTATAAAGTCGGATAACACATTTTTGGAGCCTAATTTTTGCTATATAAATTCAAAAATAGTCTCCACAACAAGAATACCCAAGCCGTTGGAGTTGCCCTTACACTTCTAAAAAAAAGAATGTTGTTACTTCTTTATCATTCTCCAAAACTACCCGTCGAATGGATAAAGCTTGATGTGAGAATTTCAAAAAAAAATCAAAATTTTTCTTTTTGGTTTGTGTAATTCAGTGCTGCACAGTTTTATAAAAGAAAGCCCACAGCGGGTAACGCTCGCTTGTATACGGTTATGTATTGGGCCAATGGATCTTTTAACTGAAAAAATAGCCCACAACGTGTCACGACCGCTTGTTCTGTTTGGGAATTGGGATGAAAGTAACAGGCCCAATATGGTTCTTAATTAGGGCCTGCACTGAAACCACGGAGTGATGTTCTGGGGCCGCGCAGCCTTTTCTGCCAAACCTATGGCCCAAATCGAATAGCATCATCTTCGAACGCGCTTTTACGATTCACGGCCCCTTTCGCATTCGAACGCGCTTCCCCTGCGCGCCATGTGTTCGACCAAATGCACCCTCCTCCTCCGGCGCCATCGCCGCCCCCGCACCCACCGCTTCTCCACGGCGGCGGCGAGCCCAAGCCTCCCGCGGAAGAAGAATCATGCGGGGGAGCTTCTTCACGGGGCGGGTCCGCCTCCCGCGCCGGAGGACACCGGGGACGCGGCGAGAGCCCACGAGGCGGCCGTCAGGCGGCTGGCGGCGGCGGGCGACGTGGACGGCGTGCAGCTGGCGCTGCAGGAGATGCGGCTGAGGGGCGTGCCGTGCACCGAGGGCGCCCTCGTCGCCGCCGTCGGCGCCTTCGCCCGCGCGGGGGCGCCCGACCGCGCGCTCAAGACGTTCTACCGCGCGGTGCACGACCTGGGCTGCGCGCGCCCCACCGAGCCGCGGCTCTACAACCACCTCATCGACGCGCTGCTGCGGGAGAACATGGTGGGTGCCGTCGTGCTGGTGTACGACGACATGAGGAAAGACGGCGTGCGGCCCAACGTGTTCACCTACAACCTGCTCGTCAAGGCGCTGTGCCAGAACCACCGGGTCGGGGCTGCGCGCAAGATGCTCGACGAAATGGCTAGAAAGGGGTGTCCCCCTGACGACGTGACCTACACCACCATCGTCTCCGCGCTGTGCAAGCTTGGCAGGGTGGACGAGGCCACGGAGGTGCTGGCTGCGGCGCCGCCCGTGGCCGCCTCCTACAATGCCATCGTTCTAGCTCTCTGCAGAGAGCTCAGGATGCAGGAGGTGTTCGCAGTTGTCGGCGACATGGTGGGGAGGGGATTGCAGCCTAATGTCATCACGTACACAACTATAGTCGACGTGTTCTGCAAGGCCGGCGAGCTGAGGATGGCGTGTGCCATTCTGGCAAGGATGGTGATCACCGGATGCACTCAAATGTTGCAACATTCACTGCATTGGTCAGAGGACTATTCAATTATGGAAGGGTTCATGACGCGCTAGACATGTGGAAGTGGATGGTGGCTGAAGGATGGGCACCGTCGACGGTTTCGTACAATGTTCTGATCCGTGGCCTTTGCAGCGTTGGTGATCTCAGGGGAGCATCATCTGTACTCAACGCCATGGAGCAACACAGCTGCTTTCCTAATGCGAGGACCTACTCCACTCTTATTGATGGTTTCTCCAAGGCCGGGGACCTAGATGGTGCCATATCAATATGGAATGACATGACAAGATCTAGTTGCAAGCCAAACGTTGTTGTTTACACAAACATGGTGGATGTGTTTTGCAAGAAGCTGATGTTTAATCAGGCAGATAATCTTATTGATAAGATGCTATTAGAAAACTGTCTTCCCAACACAGTAACATTCAACACGCTGATCAGAAGCCTATGTGACTGCAGAAGAGTTGGGAGAGCTCTTGGTGTGTTCCATGAGATGAGAAGGCATGGATGCCCGCCAAATGGTAGGACCTATAACGAGTTGATCCATGGTCTGTTTAGGGAGGGAAACTGTGGAGATGCTCTTCAAATGGTGATCGAGATGCAAAACCATGGTATTGAGTTGAGTTTAGTAACATACAACACTGTAGTAAGTGGTCTATGTCAAATGAGAATGAGCAGAGAAGCCATGGTTTTTGTGGGGAGGATGATAGTTCAAGGAATTCAACCAGATGCATTCACTTTCAGTGCAATAATTCATGCTTACTGCAAGGAAGGGGAAGTCAGGATGGCTGCTTGGATGTTAGGTGTGATGAATGTAGCGAACCGCCATCGTAACGTACTAGTGTACACTATTCTAATGGCAGAGCTTTGCAATCAAGATAAGCTGGAAGATGCCATGGTGTACCTACTAAAGATGTTATATGAAGGTATATATCCAAATACAGTGACATGGAACGTTTTGGTCCGTGGAGTTTTTAGAAACCTTGGCTGCAATGGTCCAAGTTATTTCATCCAACATATTGCCATGGACATATCAGCAGGGACCTGAGGTTCAATATTGTGGTTCTTTGGCTTCCCAACCAAGGCAAAGTTGACAAGCAGCAGATTCTCTCAGATCCTTGTTGCTGTAATTCATTTGTAAGGTATGTTATATTCTGTAACGTTAACATTCTTTTGTCATCAATGATCAGATGAGTTGAGGTTATCCAGCTGGCCTTGAGGTCTCATTAGGAGTCAGTCAAAGTTGTATGCTTCATCTTTTCCATGGGTATGCACTGTGCATTATTAATATTGCCTGAGAAGATTTTGGAAAATTTCACTCATGGGGGTGTTTAATGCTTCCCATAACCCATTGCTATGTTCTCTGCTGAAGTCATTAGGACCTGACCTTACGCTCTTACTAGTGAACTCTGTCTATTAACACTTTTTTTCTTCTAAAATATAATTACTACTGGTATCTGCACCCTCGTTTTGCTTGTTTACATACAGAATTACAGATGCAGAGAAAAATGCTTTTTGGACACATTGCTTTCTTATAAATTTGACCATTAGCCAGATGGCTAGGTGCTGCTAGGAAGGTGACACCTATCACTCACATGGGGCCTGTTCGGCAGGACTGAAAAACACTGTTCCGGCTGATTGTTGTGAGAGAAAAATACTGTTCTGACAGGACGTGAACAATGATTCTGTGAGAGAAAAAACAAGCCAGCCGGCTGGCTTTAAGCCAGCCGAACACGCCCATGGTCTATAAGGTTTGGCATGAGGGTGACAGCTTAGTGCCTAGGCACTCAGCTAGGAGGCTGCTCTTTTGAACAGTGGGTTGAATGGGTCGATGTTGAGGCTTATTCCAGTTTGCCTTCTTGTTGGTGATAGCCTTCACTCTTCAGAACTCTAGTTGAGATTTGAGAATCATCTGATCACTATAGACAAAGGGACAATATACATTTTATTGCTTACTTATAGCCCTGACTGGTTGCTTCTCAATATTACAAATGTGAAATCTACAACGGTGTTTTCCTTCTTTTCAGCTTATGATCAAATAGGGCACATCTCTTCACTTAACTCTGGCAGCATTCTTCTGTGCCTCCAGCTTTTTGTATACTGCGTCAATCTCAGACTGCATGCAAAAGACGCTGGATTAGAACTACTCAAAAGCAGCAAGAAAGGCCAAGAAATCAGTAACTGAAGCAGATCAAGAGTCTTTAAATGCCTTCCTTACCTGGTAATAGTTCAGCATATTCTTTCTTTTCTTCTTCATTGTTGCAGTCACCAAATCCCTTTCAATGTCAAAAGGTACAGGATCCAACACTATGCCTTTGATGTACTCAAAACCTCGTAGCTGATTTATGGCATGCAATGAGGGTTACCATATATAGAATTATAGATCCAAAATACAGTGAAAGTTTGAAACACAAGGAGTTACAAAATTGTTTCCTCTTTCTGTTTCTTATACAAAACAGAAAAAAAAGATACATTCAATACTATATTATGATACTTTAAGGTGAAGATTTTTGTCTGTCATGGTGAATAGATGACTGTACCTTGTTCTTCTGTGCAACAGCTGTCAGCTCTTTCAGGATGTACTCTTTAAGTCCTTCAAGTTTGCAGATTTCAGCAAAAGAACCCTTATAGCCATTGGACTCTGCCCACTTCATTGTGTTTTCTTCGTGTGGATTGACTACTGCAACTAAACTTGATCTGAAACTGTCCCCATATACCCAGATCTAGAAAAAGGACAGAAATGACAATATTAGATGTAGACCAATATTCTCTCTTAATTAGGCCATATGCTATAGCCGTTGAATTGTTTACTTACATCTTCAACAAGTGGAGGGAAGCCATACACTTTCTCCAGGTACTCAACTGCAACATACTCCCCTTGTGACAACTTAAATATGTTCTTTTTTCGGTCAATTATCTTCAGGATTCCGTCTGGGGTCATCTCTCCAATGTCACCTGAAAATAAGTGTGTTTGAGTATTGTATTTTGGAATCTTATCAATTTTTTAAATTTCATTAAATTGAGTATTCACCTGTATGAAACCATCCATCAAATATTGCTTCGTTTGTGAGTTCTGGACTTTTGTAGTACCCAGCGAACAGAGATTTCCCTCGGATGCAGACTTCACCACGTGAAGGGACACCAAGTGGATCATAGCCCATCTCGGGTACTTCTTCCAGTCGTATTTCAGTGTAGGTGGCAGGTACGCCAGCACTTCCAACCAGGGCCATGTCATCAATGTAGCAGACAGTGCTAGGTCCCAGTGTTTCTGTTAAACCTGAGCAAAGGTCACAGAATCTACCCTTATACTGGTTTCTTTTGAATTGGCTAATTGGGATTTACAAGTTAGGCACTTGTTAGGAATGAAACTGGATATATAGATTTCTTATTTACACCATTTTGTTACATTTGAGTACTTTACCATTTTCTCATTTGTCTTTCTTTTGATGCTACAGAATTAATTTGGAACTGTAGAAAGTGCTTGTATGCATTACCATAGCCTTGGATAAAGTATGCACAGGTGGTCACTCGCATGAACTCTTCAATCTCATTACTTAGTGGAGCCCCTCCTGAAATTAATAAGCGAAGACGACCTCCAAGCCTTGCCTTGACCTAAATCAAACACAGAGAAAGAAGTGCCCGGTATAGAAATTGTAAGTGCTGCTTCTACTGATATTTTTCTTTCTGTGGAAGTAATTTGGCTGTATACATTTCTTTTGTTCTCAGGTAGATATTTAGGTCTAAGAAGCATGTAACCTTGCGAAAAGCCAGCATGTCTGCAAAAGGTGAAGCAGTTTTGTGCGAGTAGCCTGCTTTCATGCTTGCCAGTTTGCTGAATTTCAAAAACTACAGTAAGATATAGTTGATTTGCAGCTAGAAGGAACTCAGGATGCCAGACAACTTACCGATTGTACAAAGCATTAAAAATTACCCTTCTTAGAGGTCTGAGTTCAGAAATGGCCTTTAAGATACCTAGAGCCATTCAGAAGAGGTTGTCTTGAGTTAACAAAATTTGAGCTTAGTTGATAGAGATATTCTTATTTCACTACCTTCATAAATTCTTTCGTACACTCGGGGCACCCCAACCAGTAAAGTTGGCTTTAGCTCCACGATATCGTCCCTCAAGGCATTCAAATCCTGACAAGAAAGTAAACATTTCATTGTGATGTAATGATTAAAGAATGATTTCTTGTATGATTAGAAAAGCTAATGTAGTGGATTTTCTCACTCCATGGTAATAGCCAATTGAGGCCCCTTTGTGAAAGAAATACTCTTCGATCATGCGGTCAAGGATGTGAGCAAGTGGGAGAAACGATAGAAAGACATCATCTGTTGTCATCTGATTACATGAAGGCACCAAGTTACTATTAAGTTTTGCATAAAACAGAACTATTATCGAATCATACTCGGAGCATTGTATTTTAAGGGTAGGAGGTGACCTTATCATCAAACTGATCCATAAAGAGGTTCACCCCTTTTACATACATGGCATGGCTTTCATGGGTCAGCATCACACCTTTGGGCTGTCCGCTTGTTCCACTTGTATACATGATAGTGCATAAATCACTTGCTTGTGGAGGGCAAGGTTGACAAGGATTATCCTTTCCCTGAAATCCAGTTACAAAGCTAATGCTCAGTCAACATATATATTTCAAAACATCAGTTCATTACAAATATAACCATCATAAACATTAATACAAAACTGACTCTGAATAGATCTGTCTAGATGTTTCAGTAGGTTAAACTGTAAATATCCCACAATTGATGTACCTACCACTTTTAAGAAATCATTCCAGGCGTACATTTTCATCCCAATATTATCTGCTTCTTTGATTTGTTCACTTGTTGCCGAAGTGAATGCCACCAATGCTGTAACCATGTGTTGGATAATGATGTTTGGAACTATAGTCTTTCTATATAATGATGTTTGAAAATATAGTCTTTCTAAACTACAAATGGACCCTAAAATTTTTGACACTGCTTACCTTTTAGCCTCTTAGCAGACTTGCAATTTGGGGATAGTACCTGCAGATGAAAAGCTCTCATGTAACGTTAGAATTTAAGATGAAAGATCCTAAAGGTAGCAACATGGATAATTCATTTTAATTACACCTCTTTTATTTTCTTGTCCTGTATGAACACAACATCAATCTCAGCATGATCAATGATGTAGTCAACAGCTCCTGCACCTGTATGCTATGGAAAGTTATTAATTCTGAATTTCTAATGCATTACTTTTGTTTTCTTATTAAACAAAAGCATATGTGTTTTAATATTTTTTATTATTTGATCTGAAACATTCTATGATGTGGGCCTGCTATTTAATGGTCTCCTACTTACCTAAAGTATCATATAGTGGGACACAGATTAGACTATAGCCATTGCAAGCCTGCAAAATTAATTGTGGATTAGCACAGTTTATTCAGAAAAGATCTGATGGGGAAAGTTATACAAGTCACTGACAGTTTACCTCCATTGCCACTATCCACTGAGGACAGTTTGCTCCGTAGATTCCAACCCGGGAACCCTGGTATCAGTATAGGCCAAACAAAGAAGCATCAGTTCATCTGATCCATTTGAATGTTCTAGGATCTCTATAAAATACAAAGAGGCCAGTTCACAAATAATGGAAAAAGGGTCTATTTTACATAGCTGGAGTGGAAAGTTAGCTTAAGTTTATGCTCTTACTGGTTTCACTCCCAGCTGCTGCAAAGCAGAGCCAGCTTGCAGCACCTCATCATAGATCTCCTTGTATGATTTCCACAAGTAGGGCCCTGGCTAGAAAATGGAAACAAAGAAGTTTTTACCAGTTATACAGATGAAACCTGTAAATTAATAAAGACCTGATATAGAATATTTATGATGCTATCATTTATGTGGTTTATTTATGTGTGCATACCACTCCATCTTTAAACGGACGCCATCCCAGCATCCGGTTGTCGGGATACTTGCCTGCTGCTACCCTGCATAAGTGCATATAAACATATCAATTTTTATTACTAAGATTTTCTGAGCACTGTACATAATTTATGTGTGTGTAATACTACAAATTTTGTAATTGAAAACCTAAAGAACAATAAAAAAAAAGAATAGACACGTGAGCTTGGTTGTTGTTTCAGTTGTGTTACCTGAACACATCCCATGATGTTTGCATGTCAGGCTCAAGTTGTGGGAATCCATCCTTGGCCAGCACGCTCCGGAACACCGGCCCTACCGCCAGCTGGCCGTCCTTCCCAGGTTTCCCGTCCTCCACTTTAATCGTGAAGACGTTCTTCGGATTTGCCTCCATCTCTCAGGATGGCACTGACCAGAGCCCTAAACATCCAGAACTCAAGGTTAGCTCCTCTGAGAAGCTTTTACTCTGTGGCTCCCTTCAATTACTCCATTGATTATTATAGTATATATAGCCCCAAGCAAGATGATCAATTTGATCTACAGCTATCCAAACCATAAATTCTCTGCGATCTGAAAGTTTGTTACGTGCAAAAAAAAGAGAAAAAATCTACTAAGCAAGGATTTAAATGGGAGGAGGGGAACAAGCTTCCAGGGTCAGAGTATGAATTCTTTGTGATTATAAAATGATATCCTTTGTGTGTGCGCGTGTGGCCGTATGCCCGTGTATGTTGTCACTGCAATCTGAACAAGCAGTCGAAGAACATTGCCGACTTGCAGGTTTGGTTGATCAAACCTTATCGGGTGCAATCCGAAAGCAGGAGAGGCGGAGAGCCTGAGTCCAGAGAGAGAGAGAGAGAGAGAGAGAGAGAGAGCTTACAGATAACGGAGCTTGGAGGAGGCAGAGCTCTTGGGCCGAGTTGAGAAGGAGCTCGCTCTGACGCCCTGTCGATGGGAGGAAGAAGAGGGGCCTCTTTTCTTTCCTATATATGCTGAGAGGGAGGCGCCATGCCGAAGAGAAGTTGTGTGGGGACGGAGAAGTGGCGCCGGCGGGCCCCCACGCTAACCAACCGGGCGCTGCTGAACCTGAAACTGCTTAACCCCAGGTTTAGAGAGAGAAACTACCAAAGATTAAGGCCTTATTTAGTTTGTCCCTCAAAAGTTTACATCATGTCTCATCGAATGTTTGACATATGCATTAAATATTAAATATAGATTAAAAATAACTAATTGCACAGATTACGACTTCTTTGCGAGACGAATATTTTAAGTCTAATTAGCCTATAATTTGATAATGTGGTGCTACAATAACACATGTACTAATGACGGATTAATTAGGCTTAATAAATTCTTCTCGTGGTTTAATGATTCTATAATTTATTATTTTATTAGTATCCGAATACTCCATACGACATTTGATGTGACACCTCGAAATTTTACGGATAAACCATAACTGAAAATAGCGTTGGCTGTTTCGTTACGAGAAAAGTAAACTAACAGGCGATGGGAGAGCCCGAGAGAGAGGGGGAGCAAGGGTAGTTGGCCCAGGAATAACTGCTGCATCTCCCTTTCCCGGTTTCCCTTGCCAGTTGGCCCGTATGGGGTCAGTCGTATCACTATGATGCGTTTTTTCGCTGCACTACCACTACAGTCTACGCCTGTTATCCAGAGCATGTTTTGTCATAATTCGTCCAGTCATCCACGTGCACCTGTTCGTTTTATCATATCAACCATATTTATCAGCTAGGGTATAGTATTTTTTTTCACAACAAACCTTAGCATCAGCTGACTTATAAGCCCAAAAAACATTTAGCGAACAGGGCGATGATCCACTTTTTTTTTGAAAGACATGATCGGCTCTCGAGGTTTGGTGCCGTTGTTTGTTGATTGTTTGGGCCGTGGAATTGAATCATACAGTGACTGGCCATGGTAACTATCAAGTACCAAGAACAACATGATATACTTTGTATATTAAAGAAAATAAAATAAAATGAAAGCATAGCCTGCCCCGGTTTCAGGGGAAACCGAAGGCGGTAAGATCAGAGCACAGAAAAATCTATTTTTAAAAAAGTAGCACGGACAGCATGACATGAGTTTTCAGAAAGAGATAAAAAGTGAAGGGCATACACAGATTCAGAAGCTTATTTTGTCTGAGTAGATATATAGATCATGAGATGTACTTGTCACCTAGCACCTCTGATTTATCGTGAGAGAAAAATACTGTTTGTTGACTGAAAAATACGGTTTATAAGCCAAGCGAATAGGACGTTTAATAATCCCATATTTTCTACCAAGGTTTTCAGATATGGCCGAGAAAATTCTCAAACCCCAGGTTTTACTGGCGAGGGGATTCTTTTAACCAATTGGTTTGGACTATGGCTGTTGGGTTCATAAACTCGGGGTCTCTCGCGGACCGGCTTCCTCGCAAAGGCTCGGCCCAAGCAGACAGCGCGCAGCTCATGGGCCGGCCCAAGAGTCTAAAACAACAGGCCAGAAGGGCGGTCCAGTCACCGACCGGAAGGTCTGGCCGAGGAGGAACAGCGCCCGCTTGTCGACTCCGGCCCACCTCTCGACCGAAGCGCTCACTTCGGTCTCCAGCCACCTCCGGACGGTCTCTCCGACTGGAAGGCCTGGCAAAGCACTACCTCCAACTCCGACCCCACGTCTCCGACCAGGGGTATGCAAAGATCCTGCTCACTGCTCTTCTCCGACTGGCGTAATCAGAGCCGACTGGGACCAACCGATCGGGGACGCCCGCCCGGAAAGGATCAGGGAACGAACGGGGAAAGCAAGGCAAGGCGCTCAAGTCAAACCATGATACTAGGGACTGTACCCTGTCACCTATAGGAACAGTACTCTGCAACCGCCCTGACACAAACAATATTGTAGGCGCTGACATTTTTCTCTATAGTATTGTGGGCGCCGTTAACTCCCATACGGTAAGGCCCCCCACATGCCTATGGGCATCGATAGTGTTGTGGGCGCCGGGATTTACCGTACCGAGCGAACATGGTGAAACTCCTCACATGTCTCTAGGCATCAACAGTATTTGCAGGTACCGACATCTGCCATACCCAAACAAAGACGACGTAACCTCCCACGTGCATCTGACATCCAACAGTGTTGTGGGCGCCTACCATCATCCTGTACCCACCGCGCGTGGGCAACAAGACTTAGAAGCATACGTACTCTCTCCTTCTCACTTGTAAGGCCATCCCTTCATCTATAAAAGGGGATGCGCTCTCTCCAAGAGACTCAATTGATTCAAGTTCATACAAGTTAATCTAGATCGATCAAGTTCACTAGCTCACAACCACAGAACCGTCAGGTTCGGACCTCAAGCACACGATGGAACACTTAGCTCATAGAGGAGCTCCTGTCGCTCTCGGCCCTTTCGACCGGACCTCTTGTGCACCCCATCTTTCTCCCTCTCGTTTGTAACCCCACTGCAAACTTCGAGCACCTGGGCTTAGGAATAAAGTCGCCGACCGACTCAAACTAGACGTAGGGCACGTTGCCTGAACCAGTATAAACCCTATGTCATTGAGTGCTAGGCCACCTCCGATCACAACGTACAACAAAACTACAATATTTACTTGTTGGTCACTTTATGCACCGATAATTGGCGTTGTCCGTGGGGAAGACGCTGTACGTTCAACACTTTTTTGGTCATCGGATGGCCCACTTTTCCGCCACCCTCGCCGTGGCGGGCTGTGGCGATTCGATTCGCTTCGGCTCACTAGAGTTTCCCGCGCTCCCACCTGTTGGGATGTGGGTTCCACCCGTCTTCGAGCCATCCCAGACCTTCCTCCACGGAATCCTAGACTTCGTCGCTGACCGGCTCGATGTACTATACCTCCGCGAGGAGGCACTTGTTCCGGCACCCGTCAGAGGGGCGCTCTCCATCGACTCCGGGACGCACGGCTTCGAGGACGTGGCATCCGCGCTTCATTCCGAGCAAACTCTCTGCTCAAACCCCGATGTGAGTAATGTACATATTGTTATTTACTTACTATTCTCTATCTTCTGCCGATTACCTGGAGGGACCCCGTTGTCCCAGACACCACCGCCATACGACCGGTTCCCCTATGGCCTCGCGTCTCCCGCGGACGTGTACGCCCGAGGGCTTAGAAGAATGCCGGCGTCGCCCTCTCTCACATCCGAATTCGTGGGGATGGCGAGCTACGCTCCCACCTATTTCCTCGGCCTCATGGATGACAATGTTGAGAGTGACGGCTCCAGCATCGGCGATGTGGCGCCTAGCCACCGTCCGTCCCAGGAGTGCGCTATGGCGGACGCTCCGGGACAGCCACCGGCGGTAATGCAGTCCTTGCAGACTCACACCCTCCGGATCCCCATGCGGAGACCTCCGAGCTCGCACGCGAGCACGATGAGTAACCACGACCACAGTGGCTGCACCCGACCACCAGCGCGCTCGGCGCACCACTGCGCGCCGCGTCGCGTAGACCGGCGCCCGGGGTCGCGCTCGTCGGGTCCAGCACAACACCATGGACAGGGGGAACGACCCCCCACAGTTCGCTCAGGCCAATCAGAACATCGCCGCCGTGGCAATGCTTTGCGCTGTGGCCTGTCTGAGCCGAATGACCCTCATAAACAGGCGATCCACCGGAACCTCCGGGCACTAGTGGAGAATGCCGCCGTTCAACAAGCGGAGAGCTCCGTATCGCGACGCTGACTCGCGGCCTCGCTCCCCACCAGGGGAATGGGGACGCAGCAGATGGGTCGCTCCACCCGATCACCGCTACAACCGCCGAGTGCGGCACATGAGGCCGCATTGGCACCTCGTCTTGACTTGACGACCGCTCCGCACCGATCGCCTGTATACGCGCGGCTCGGGCTAAACCAAGACACATGCAGCAGCGACCGGAGTCCCAGCCCTGATGGCCCGGGACCATGGACCTCTGTCCAACACCTCTAGCAAGCGCCACTCCCACCGCGCTACAATGGAGGCCGGGGCAAAGGTAAGGCCAAGCGTCATGATCAGGACGAGGCCCCTCCACGCAGAGGGGAAAAAGAATAGAAAGGATCACCGCCGACCGGTCAACTCCGCGTTGGTTGCCACGGTTGATCACGCTGGTCACGCAGCCCCAACAGGACCCTCCGAGCCACTTCCACGAGCTCATGGAGAGCCCATGCACCAATCACGACTACCCCGTCAAACACCTCTACAAGGACTGCCAGCTCCTCAAGCGCCTTCTACGGCAGGCCGGCAGGCCAAAGGAAGAAAAAGGCGAAGAAGCAGCGACCGAGAAAGGGGGCGTAGCGGGCAAGGATCCGGACGACTGAAGGTTGAAGTGATCCGACCGGACGCCTACCGACTGAAGGACAACAACAACGACATTCTCTCCAAACGCTTGAAACAGCTATGTCATTTTC